ACACCCCACAAGTTAGCAGTGCTTGATACACTTCCTATTGTACACCCAGCAAGTTAGCAGTGCTTGATACACTTCCTATTATACACCCCAGCAAGTCAGCAGTGTACTTGACACACTTCCTATTGTACACCCCACAAGTTAGCAGTGCTTGATACACTTCCTATTGTACACCCAGCAAGTTAGCAGTGCTTGATACACTTCCTATTATACACCCCAGCAAGTTAGCAGAGCCTGAAGAAGTCTTTAGCATAAAGACCAAAATGTCTTTCTCTCAAGAGTATGTAGTCCATTAAACTTTTCATACAATTTTTTTATGTAGTTGACATGTTTTCATCTCGTTGGTACTTGTAATATGACTAATTTATCTAACAAACCAACATACTTACTCTAGCTGAAGGAATTGGGGAGTTTTCTTTTCTAGTATGCTTACCTAACTAACACTGTTCTTGACATCAGTTTCCTTACATCTTGTTCTGTTTCAAACTCCACAACTAAAAAAGGCTGAAATAATCAAATGAAAGACTTCTATTTAAAAACCATTTTAATCTACTTAATATATATATATATATTTTAACACAGTATTTTTGTTATTAAAGTTAAATAACTTTGTCCATAATGTACATAAAATTTTAATGTTTCTGTTTCACAAAACAACTTTATCTCAAAATGTACAAGTTTTAAATTTATAAAACAGTCACTAGGATCAAAAGTTGGCATACACAGATTCTGTTCCACGCTGTCAATCAACTAGGATCGAATTTAACCCCTTTCTATAATAAACTCCTAAGAATAAAAGATCTGTGTCTGAATACCTGATGATCAAAACAATAAGATGTTAAACATTAAATGAATTGCTGTGAAACACATTAATACTCTCAAGTACTATTTAATAAATTGTTGTGTCAGTTTGACTTAAATTGTACATACATTAATACTCTCAAGTACTATGTAACAAATTGTTGTGCCAGTTTGACTTACATTGTACATACATTAATACTCTCAAGTACTATGTAACAAATTGTTGAGTCAGGTTGACTTACATTGTACATACATTAATACTCTCAAGTACTATGTAACAAATTGTTGTGTCAGTTTGACTTACATTGTACATACATTAATACTCTCAAGTACTATGTAACAAATTATTGTGTCAGGTTGACTTACATTGTACATACATTACTACTCTCAAGTACTATGTAACAAATTGTTGAGTCAGGTTGACTTACATTGTACATACATTAATACTCTCAAGTACTATGTAACAAATTATTGTGTCAGTTTGACTTATATTGTACATACATTAATACTCTCAAGTACTATGTAACAAATTATTGTGTCAGTTTGATTTATATTGTACATACATTAATACTCTCAAGTACTATGTAACAAATTGTTGTGTCAGTTTGACTTACATTGTACATACATTAATACTCTCAAGTACTATGTAACAAATTGTTGTGTCAGTTTGACTTACATTGTACATACATTAATACTCTCAAGTACTATATAACAAATTGTTGTGCCAGTTTGACTTACATTGTACATACATTAATACTCTCAAGTACTATGTAACAAATTGTTGTGCCAGTTTGACTTACATTGTACATACATTAATACTCTCAAGTACTATGTAACAAATTATAGTGTCGGGTTGACTTACATAGTACATACATTGTTACTCTCAAGTACTATGTAACAAATTGTTGTGTCAGGTTGACTTACATTGTACATACATTAATACTCTCAAGTACTATGTAATAAATTATTGTGCCAGTTTGACTTACATTGTACATACATTAATACTCTCAAGTACTATGTAACAAATTGTTGTGTCAGTTTGACTTACATTGTACATACATTAATACTCTCAAGTACTATGTAACAAATTGTTGTGTCGGTTTGACTTACATTGTACATACATTAATACTCTCAAGTACTATGTAACAAATTGTTGTGCCAGTTTGACTTACATTGTACATACATTAATACTCTCAAGTACTATGTAACAAATTATAGTGTCAGGTTGACTTACATTGTACATACATTAATACTCTCAAGTACTATGTAACAAATTACTGTGTTAGGTTGGCTTACATACATAAATACTCTCAAGTACTATGTTACAAATTGTTGTGTCAACTTAGCTGGGCTGATGAGGACTAAAATAGCATTGAACAACTTATCTGATAATAGTATGAGAACTATCATCTGTGTTTTATAATTTAACACATCTTTAGGTTCTTGTGGGCAAAGAGCAAATCCTTCACTGTCAATTCTTGTTTGATAATATAGATAAGTTTCTATTAGGTGACAGCTACAAGTACCAGCACGAATTCATTTCAACCTATAACTACATTCTATAACAAGTGAACGAGATACTTTTTTGGTCAGTCAAGGACAACACAAACACTAGCACCAACACACTTCAACCCATAACTACATTGTACAAGTGAGCTGGATACTTCTTTAATGCCTAACCTGATGGTTTATTATGGGATCTAATGTAGGTGTCCAATCAATGGCTTTCAAGGTTTTACATACTTTGAACAACTTTCTTGTATTGTTGATATTCAAACTTTTAATAAATAATCAAATCTCTCAACACCTAACTGGAAAAGCAGGAGAACCTGAGAGACAGGAACTAAGAAAACCAAAATTGAATTTAAATGTTAGTAATTCATCTTCATCACCACTTCCATTAGCTATGAAGTTTTCTGTTACAGAAAGTTACTGCCAATAAAAAAAATTAAAAAATAATTTATAAAGAGTCTTACCCAACATTTCTAATTTTGTAATTAATAAATTATTTACATATATTTTGTGCCAAGAATTGTGTACTTTTGTTAAGTTAATGAAGCTACTATCAAAAAACAGTCTATTATATATGTTCTGCGACTTTAGCTGGACAGTTGTAAAATAAGTATTTAAAACATGAAACACACAATGCACTTCCTATAATATTACCTTTTCTGATGGTTGTTCTGTCCACGAGATGTCGATTTGAAACAACGAGGCAATCGAGAGAATTTCCTGAAAGAGTTACAAATAATTATTGTTTCATAAAATCTTTTTTAGGAAAACAGAAGAAGCTTTAAATCATTAGATGTACAGTTAAAAGAACATCAAGCTTGTTCAATACAAGAGGACTTAACAACAACAAAAAGACAATAGAGTTTAACATAAAAAAACAACTAACAACTTGGTTCAAATTAATAAAGAATACTAAGTATTTAATTTCTCACACTAACTGTGTTAGAACAATTCCTTCAGTTCCAAAGTACTGAAATTGGGCTGGTTCCTGATTAAACTGTCTTTTCTAACCTAGTCTTTTCTTCTAATCTGAATATTATCTTATCTTTTGACACATACATTTTATCATTCTCTCAAGTGTAATTAGTCAACCCATTTGCAGGTTCTGCTTAAGTAGCATATTCTTGTATGGAATAAACCAGTCAAAGTGCTAAAATATGTGTCTTTTTATAGTTTTAAGAAAGACATGGTTATCAAAGGTCACTTGGAAAACCACCTATAATGTTAGAATCTGATAAAAAAATATCAGCATGCCTTTAAATAAGGGTTTCCTTTTCTCAATAATTTATTAGTTTTTTTTTTTTTTTGATAGGGCTTTTATTTGTTTGTGTTGTCTGAATAAGCTGTGTTATATAAGCATGTGTTTTCAACCTCCTTGTATTAACATTCAAATTTTTTCAACATTTTGTTTGGGTATGTGCAGTTCCATAAAACATTTGAAAGGTTAATGAGGTCCTCATCAGTAATTCTGGGGTTAAATTCCTTTAAAATGTGTTAGATAATGTTATGAATGTAATGAGTTTAAATCAGGCCCATTTGTTTGGTGATCTTAATGGGCCAAATGGAATTTTGTGACCTAGTCTTTTTCTAATGTCTTTTATATTTTAGCTTTCCTCCACAGCACAGGGTCAGGGAAATAATTATCGTGAAAGAAACCTGTAAGATATTACACAATGGTGAAATAAACAGGAAGAGGATGGGTAGCTGGCAAAAACTCTGTAGGCTGTTGAACTTGAGATTATTATTTATATGATAAACTGAATATTAACTTTGTACTGTGAATGTGATAAGTTACATAAAAAACTATAACAATATGTTTTTTGTGTACAAGTCTCTATAAAATGTTTTTGTATGATACTGGTATCATGAAGCATGCATGAATGTCCTTTTTACTATAAGTAGTACCTTGCTAAGTTTGAAACTAAAAGTAATAAATGTAAGTAGAAGACATTATCTTCTCTTATGTAGTGAGTTTATGAATGACCATTTTAATATTTCTTTGTAAAAAATAACACTGTTCTAAATACATTACAAAGTTTAAAATGATTATGAACTAGCTAACATCAAAATATGCAACTGTATATGAAACAAATTTGAATGTGTTTTTTTTCTTAAATACTTCCTCTAAAAAATGCAATATTTAGAATACTAATTGAAAAAAGTAATTCTTGCTGTGTTCATTGTACATCTACCTAAATTCCAATAAGAAAAACCATCATTGCATCAAACAACTGCACAAATTAGGCTTGAGATAATTCTTTGTTTGATGTTACTGTTATTCTATCCAAGCTTTACAATATCCCATAAATCTTTAAAATTTCAGTGAATGTATGTATCATATTACTATTAGTATTATTATTGCAACAGTAAATTTTGTAACAACACACCAGTGCACAATGACCCTCTTTGACTTTTATTATTATATATATATCATCAATCATTACAAGTGAAAAAATAAAATCAAAATCGGATGTTGGATTGAAAACCTACCGGAATTCGAAAATTAACGTGCTCATTAACACACCATAAAAGATATCTTTTGTTTAGAGAAGCATCTACTAAAGACATGTTAAAATTAAAATCAGGCCTCGAACAAAATTTTCAAAGAACGAAAAGGAACATACGACAGCGCTGCCATCTGCATAAGACGTTTGTAGTATATTTTTACAGCAAAGTGACCAAGACCAAATAACACCTATTTACGATCCCCCTCGCTGTTTGTATATTTGTTGCATTTCACACAAAGCTGCTCAAAAGGTATATGCGCTAGACGTTACTAATCTTGTTGTTTCTTATCTTTAAATTATTAGATCAGGACACAAAGACAATGCACATACATTAAACTGAAAATATTCTCTGTGTGATTAAAGAGTTCGTCAGGTGGTATTTTCTAAAGATATGGATATATGGGAAACACTTTCTTCCTCTCTGTTGGATTTTGTACAGATAAAGTACGTTTTTATTCCATTTTTAAATTTTGTGGTGCGTTAGGGGTCCGATTTAAGTCTTGCAATGCGGGCTATGTCTTGGCTATTTAAATTGCTTGTGATTGTGGCTCCAGGTTTATTTCCTGAGTACCAGCTGTGATTCATTTTCTTATACCAATCCTCCGTCAGTTTCCTCTTTAATGTTTTCAGTTGATGTATACGCTGCATTTTTTTCGGGGTGGGGGTGGGGATCTTGATACATAGATGCTTTCTTTGTCAAGATATCACTATCAGCTTTCTTATTCCCTGGGACTCCCACATGTGCAGGAATCCAAAGAATTCTGACTTAAGTAATTTGTTTAAATTTATTGCACCATGTGATTTTGGCAGCATTATATAGGATTCTACGTATTTGTCCCAGTTTGTTTTTGAGGTCCACGTATGATATATAATAAGAGTGGTCTTATAAGTAAAATTTAAGTAGTTCTGAGGCATGAATAGTCAGTATCACAGTCAGTTCCAGTTAGGTGTTTAAATAAGTTTAACCTTTTCTTAGCTTTGAATGTTATGTCATTGATATTTGATAAAGATCATAGCTGGGTCTAGAGTTACTCTTAAATATTTGGGGATGGGGATAAAGGTAAGGTAGAATCTTATTCTTAAGTTTTATTTGAGGTTTCCAGGAACTTAGGTGGTTGTTTATTGTGAAAAATACAGATATAGATTTATTTGGTTTGATTGTTACTTTTAATTTATTTACAAATTTGGAAAACTTATTTCAAGATTTGTTAATATTGTTGCGTCATCGAGATCACATGACTACAGTGACGCCACGTTTCTAGAACTATCCCGTAT